GGAATGCCTACTCTAAAGGCCTTTTGCTGGTGTTCAGTAAAATTTTTGCAGTCAGGAGGTGAAAGGAGAACACTTTTCCCCCAGGGTATTGTGTCTGTGTTCCTCTCTTTTGGTTCTACCACTTGAATGAAAGTAGTTTCCCATGGGTCTGTACTAAGCCTCTTCTAGCAGCTATTCTATATTTTTTCATTTTCCTAGTCAGGTTGACTAATCATCTTTGTTCTGTTGCATAGTCTAGATTCCTGAGGAGCTGTATAAGATTACTTAGGAACTTGAGCATCTCCTTCCCCCTTGCTTATCCCAGTCTTGAAGAATCTAATGTGTCTGTCATTATGTGTCACTTTAACAAAACAGTGTACTTGTTTGTATACTTCCAGTGCTGGTTTTTATCACGTACGATACTAAAATCTTCAAGTGTATGTAGGACTTTCAGTAATGATTCAGGTGAACTCCAGGTCACTTAGAACAAGGTGCATTAGTTAATGGCAGCTGGAGTTCTTTGAGGTGGTTAGCACATTTGATGTATGATCTGTGAGCCTTTCCCACTCCCATGGAGTCTAAGGTGATCTTTGGACATTTTTCTTGGTGATAAGGACATCTTAGGTAGTGAACCAGTCTTTGTTCCAAATAACACTGAAAAAAAAAGGGATAAGGATCTTTTAATTTCAGATGATCTTAGAAGTATTAGTGTCACAGCTGATGGGGTAAAGGTTTGTGCTGGGGTGAAGGATGATTTGTAGAGGCATGGCCGGATTACATCTGGCTTCATTATTAATGAAACAATGGATAAACTCAAACTGCCCTATTCTTTATTTTGTTTCAGGGGACATACAGGAACACAAAGGGCATTGATGTGTGCACTGGGTAGCCAAATGAATCAGAACTTGGGGCGGGAGGTGTAGGACCATATACCTGAAATCACTACAGTTTCTGTAAAACAATAACTACTTGTTTTCCTGTGCTTTGTCTCTGAACTTGTTCAGCGTAGTTATTAAGTTTCTGTGTTTCTAAACATTCATATAAACACATGTCATTTGCTAATATTTTTTTGGCACTTAAACAGACTTTCAAAGAACTCATGGAACTTGACAAGTGTTACTCCTCAAGCCTCAAAATATTAAAATTACTTAAGAGGGGGAAAAAAACTTTTTTTTTTTTCTGGAAACCTTCATCAGGGAAAACTTCCACTCTGGGTCTTAACACACTGACAAGATACATGCTGCTCATAGGCAACAGTGTTTGAACAAGGGCCAAATCATGTATTAACTCTGTGTGAACTTGGCAAATTCATAAGATGCTAATTAATAAACTACTTTGTGTTTATTAATATAAACAAGTTAGAAACAAGAAAAAACTGCTAACTTTTGTATTGAAAAAAAATTATTTAGCTTGCTTGAAGGGATCTGTTGAGTGGAAGTAAACTAATCAATTGATTCACTTAGCAGAGTGAAGATGAAGTTGTCTGCATGTTTCTCATTTGCTTTCTCCTCTAATTTTAAAGTCAAAAATCAAAGAGAAAAAAAGTTTGTGTTTTTCAATCGTCAGTTTAGAATACACTATTCATTAAATATCTCTTGCTTTCTCTCTGTCTGTTTCCAGGCATAGTTAAGACTCTGCATCAACAATAAAACTTTCCAGTGCATGGTACCGATTACTTTTTGTGTTGGCTTGCCTTTTGCAATTTAGTAAATTCAGTAATCTCACCTGTGTAAATTCTGTAATTTACCAGTAAAGATGACAATCTCGTGATGAATTTTTTAAGAAAATGCTTGTATGCTTTGTTTATTCCTTCTGGTTTATGCCACTCCTTTTTGTATTTTCTTAATGTTGATCTCGAACATTTTCCCCGTCTCATGACTTCTTTCTCCCCATACTCCTTTCCTTTTGCCTGACTGTATGACTTACTTAAATCTTTACAGTATCTATCAGCATGTCTCATTTTCAAGATTTTATCACCTACCACTTGAAAGTAAAAGTATTAATTATAGTTGTAATTTACATAATGCAGGTAGAGTAGCATATAATGTGTTCGCCTTCTTCATACGTTGTTGAGAGCTTCAGAAATACAACATTAGAGAAGTCTTTTGAAATAGCCACCTTTCAGAAAAGCAGTTCAGATTGGAAACATTTTTTTAACTCGTGAAGTTTAAATGCTCTCCTAACCTTGAGAACTTCCAGAAGGCTGAGAAGAAGCTATAATTCTGCTTGGTCTAGTTCTGATAATAATCCACATGAGAGGAGCAGCTTTTCAGACAAATCTATAGAGACTTGCTACTTACTTTCAAGGAAACTGGAGTGCAACCTGTTATAGTTGTAGCAACTTTTCAAGCTTTCTTCTGAGAGACCTTAAAAGCATTGTTGAACCTGAATTCTCGTGGAGCAGTGATACCAAACAAATAGTCCCAAATAAGGTATTGCTCAGAAGCAAAAATGACACTATTAAATTGAAGGAGTTGCCCTCAGGTCATGCATTGTGTTTATGGAGCACTGATGTGGAGCAGTAAATTCTTTCCTTGCTTCTAGCATCTGTTGTGCATGTCTAAACAGATTCACTAACTGAATACCCTACATTTTACAAGAGGAGCTTAATCTCATGATTGCTAAGATGAAAGTAATCCCTTCAGTTTCTAGTAACAGTTCTTTGACATCCAAAGACAGAAATAATCAGTCCTGTCACATTTGCAAATCTTCATATGGCAAAAATGCTTTCTATAAGCATTGCAATAATTGTGCTTTTGCAAATTTTCATTTCATAAACTGGACACCATGGGTGCCTGGACACCACAGGTAGTAAGAAGGGAGACCATGCAGAGTGCGTGCGTGTGCAGGCACTGGGGTATGTGTTAAGAGGGTAGGCAGATGGGAGGCCAAAAGAATTACTTAGCTCAGAGGCTTTCTTTGAGCACCATCTATTAGCTTTTCCTTCAGTCTGTTTAAAAGACTGAAGGAGTTCCTGCCATCTCCATCCTTGTGGCTGAAGAATTACTGTTTTCCTCTAATCCTGCTACAGCTTGGTTGTAAACCTGTCTGGTGTAAAAGCTGCCCAGTAAATGACTTAATGTGTAGTCTCGACTGTATTAAAATAGTTCTGTTTCAACATAACTGTTGAATCAAATGTAGAAATTTATGTCATTCTGTTTGTGTTTAAAAACATTCAGCACTCCTAGATGTGTATAATTTTTCAGGCTCCTGCTGTTGAAGTGAGACATCCTGTGAATTTTAATTTTCCATTTGAACACTGGTCAGGTCACTTGCAGTGCGTATGGACTATAAATATTAAGTCATCAAAATCAGTTTGAAGCATTTTTAAAGAAGGAACTAAGTTGAACAGTTCCTTTAAAATACATGTTTTTGAATTCTTCTACATGGACTTTTAATGTGCAACTTTGCTTATCTTCATCTCAAATCACGAATTTGATGGATTATCAAGAAAGTCAGGGGAAATTCATATTTTTTGTTGTATGCTGTGATTTTGTTTCTTAATGGCTTACAGTGATTATCCATAGTGTGTGTGCTTTATAAAGATTCATATGGCTCATGCTTAGAAATACCACAGTCTGACTTTAGAGAGAAGGATGCAGAGGTTAAGGGGTGGGAAATAATATTGGGGAAATTTGTATGCAGCTTTCTGTCTTCTGGCTAAGTGTTGACTTTAGCATTGCCGTTAATGTTAATGAGCAGTATTAAAATGTCAAAAGGAAAAAGAGTGCTCAAAGAAAGCATTTGGAAGAACTAATAAACTTGTATTTAAAAACAAACAAACAAAACAGGAAAAAAAAAAGCAAGCGGTTTTTCTGTAAACTCTTACTAGCCAGATTTTGCCTGAAAATTCTAATACATATTTTGAAAAGTGTTGCAACAGTGAATGCTATATAATTATATTGATAAAATTTAAAGTTGTATAAATGTAGTTCATGAAGGATTGATAAAATAATATGTAAAATTTCTGATAGACTTTTTTCTTGGAAGTTGGCATATATTAATCTTCTTACGTTTCTCGTAAATTACTCAGGTATGCAGTGTGCATATGGTACTCATTTAAAGATTTTTAAATGGCTTCAAATCTATCTACAGCATCTGATGGAAATTTTAAAGTATTTCTAATAGTCACAGCTTGATTTTGTGTGCTTTACGTATAGTTTGGTGGACGAAGTTAGTAAGAATACACTGTAAAGGCAGATGAGGTATTTTTGGTTGAATCAGTAGTGTGATTTGGGGACGTATATGCTCCTGTAGCATCCAGGCCTTTTCTTACATGTATTTTAATGCATTGTACAAAGCATATTGTCTAAAAGAAGCAGGGTAAAAGTTAGCACATGACTAATAAGTGTTTATTGCTTTCACAAAATGCCTCGGCTTTAGAATTCAAAGTGGTATTTTGAAGAAATGTAGGTATTTTTCTATTTTATAGATATGGACCTGATATACAAGAAGCTAGTGACTTGCTTAGGACAGAGAAATGGAAAGTTTGTTTAATCAGGGCCAAGGAACTGCACCCACCTTCATAAATGTCTTCTTAGTGCTCTCTTCAAAAGTTGTTTCTCATGTAACCTTTTTCATGCCTATCAGTGCTTTTTTTCTGTACCTGCATATGGCAATGAGGTCTTAATAGTGAGACGTTTCCCACTTCTGTCTTTAATAGATCTCTTTTGCTTGCGGAGCTTGAGAAGGAAGAGAAAGAAAAAGACTGGTATTATGCCCAACTCCAGAACCTGACTAAAAGGATTGATAGTCTCCCCCTCACTGAAAATGTGAGTACCTTCAGTATGCTTGGTCATGTTCCTGGTGCTGTCATCTCTGCTAAGATGCTGTGTGTTTTATGAATTTGGTGAAATTCTCCACTATCATTTTATCGTAAAACATTTTTTATTCACTATGTAAAGCTAACTTAGCCTAAATAATGCATTTTTAATGTATAATTTTACACATCAAATTTCATACCAATCAGTATGTTAGTGATAGAGAGGAGCACTGAAAAGCTTTTTGACAAATTAATTACATGTGAGTACTTTTCTTCTTTAACTCTATCCCCCAAAGGTCTTTCCTTTACCCATTCTGTTACTTAGTGGATTCTTTTAGTTTTGAGAGCAATATGAGCCTAGGAGACAATTTTCACAGGAGCTCTTAATGCAAGTGAACTGGTGCTATAGCCTATGCAGGTATTGTTGCTCCAAGCTTTTACTTTGGCATCTCCGCAAACTACTTATAGTCAAGTCACCATTACCTGGGATGGTGTTGTTTGGTATCCCAGATAATGCAGGTTTTCATCTTGTCAGACATGGCAAGCTTGGATGTGTTTGCAGTGCATTCCTTCACATACACAGTGTTGGGAAGACCTGGTTGCCCATGCCAACCTTACCTGGTTGCCCATGCCAACCTTTACAGAGTCATACCTGATCAGGGATCAGTCAGCTTCCTGGAAGTGGAAATAGACAGTGGAAACACTTCTGTGACTGGGGTGAAGCATCTGGACTTCAGCAGATCTAACATTGAGTCATTGCTGAACTTATCAGAGCTGCAGAACCAGGGGGAAAAAATACTGAAAAGTATCGTGAGGAAGTGCAACTCTTCCCCAAAGGCATTGTCAGCCATATCTGTGTCACTCTATTGTAGGTTTTAAGATTGTCTCCTCAGTTTCATAGGTAATGAATTAAATTAGCTCTTCCTATGATTAGAAGGTCATATTTAACATCAACACTAATCTCTTGGGTAATTTATATCCATTACTGCTTACTCCAACAACAACAGAATAAAGGATCCCATTCTTTTTAGTAGCATTTTACATAACTGGGGATGATTGTCTCTTTTTGACTTTCTGAAGTGACCTTGGTGAAGCCTTCCAGGAGGATTGCTCTTAGAGACTCCTTTATTTGCAAACTGAGTAATTGTCCAAAACCAGTAAAGTGGTTTGCTCCTGCCTTGAAAAATCCATTAGTTGGAGTGTCTTCTCTTAAGCTGTGATATTGTTCCTGAATCGAACACTTGTGCTTTTTTTCACAGGATAGTTAAAAGTAGGGTAGATAGCAGTGGTATGAATACCATCACTACATACATGCAGTAAGGTGATAACTGAGTGTTTTTGAAAGTCCTGATTCAGATGGCATGCCTTCCAGTTTTGCTGGTAAGCTGACATACATTAGTGACCAGATGTTCCAGGCTTTTGTTAAATGTTCCCTACCAGTGGTTTGTGTATTATAGTTATTTGATAAAACTTCCAGATAGTCTTCTGGTTTGAACATGATGTCTTCTCGTTTTTAATAATGCACTCATACTTGAAGAAATTATTAACATGTTTTGCTGATTTATGAAATTTGGTGTGGAAGAGTAATTTTCTGCTTTTGTTTAGAGAAATACATAGATTACATAAATGTTATTGACTAAAATGCTTTCTTTATACTTCAATTGCAGTTCTCCCTGCAAACAGATATGACGAGAAGGCAGTTGGAGTATGAAGCAAGGCAGATCAGAGCTGCAATGGAAGAACAGCTAGGTACTTGTCAGGACATGGAGAAGCGAGCACAGGTATAGTTTATCTTTCATTATTAGAAGGAATGGAAGAAAGTTTTCCTCCATTTTTACTAAATGATTGGTAGTTAAATCTTTAAACTTTTTGTAAACACAGTGCTACCTTAGAGCATTTAGTCAGAGCTTCAAATACAAATATAGCAATCAGAACATTGGAAGTAACTACTTGGTAAAAAGTTTCCTCCTTTGCCTGTTTAAAAGAAGACTTGTATGTAGGCAGGTGTAGACAATTTCTTCAAAAGAAAATATTTTTAAATGATTATTTGCTTTTAATTTGTTACAAATTTTTCCAGTTTTTGCAGCTGCCTTATTTTGCATCTGTCATGCTGGTTGTTTTCGTACCTTTAAATTGAGAATAAAATCCAGCTACTATTGTTACATTTCCTTAGTTAGAAACTTTTTATCAAGGTATAATCTTTGAAGACAAAGTATTCAAACAAATGTAATTCATGTACTTATCTGGAAGCTGTTTGCTCTTGCCATGTTTTTCATTCATGATGAGGACATACAAAATTCTGTATGCAAATCACGTTACACACATTTGGAAGTATAACTCAGAATGCAATTGTGTGGGACTTGTAAACGGAATAATCAGTTGCTTGCCAGTTATAAAAACTATTCCATCACAGTAGTAGAGTGACAATTATTACCATTTATTTCCACAGATGCTAAATAACCAGCTTGGTAAGATAATATGGGCTTTTTGGGTTTTTTTTTGTTTTTTTTTTTTTACGGTGAATGTTACAAGAATAAGTCCTTTTCGTAAAAGTAGTCTCTTTAGGCTCTATTTTTTCTCGCTAGGTGTACTCAACACAAAATTTTGCTATGTCAGAAATGTTTCTAATTAATTTTGTTTGTAATTAGAAAAGCTGCTTTAAATTTTAAAGTGAGTAATTTATTTGGACTTTTCATAACATTCACACGATTATAAACATTTAGCAAAACATATCCTGCAATTGTCAGGCACATACATAAAGGCTGTGCAGGGATTTGTCCATACAGACATACTCAGACAGACCCAAATTTAATTTGTCTGAATAATAGTTGGCTCTGATCTGGAAGTCATATGGCTGTGTTACTGAGGTTTATCACCAGGGATGATGTGCTACATGAATTCAGCTGTGCAGCTGGTGACAGCCAGTCCTCAATGAAGGCATTGCAGACTCGGATTGTTTATGAATGTTCTGTTAGGCCTGTTGTCAAAGAAGGTGTTACGGCATTGACACTAGAACTCCTGGGACAATTCTCTTTCTTCTAACAAGCTTAAGACAGAGTAAGGTGTATTAAGTAAATAGGTGGGGTAGGCTGCTGGTAGAATTCTAAATACATGCAGACAGAAAAGTAATTAAATTTTTCAAAGGAACAATTTGACTGTAGTTACATCACTGTGAAAGTAATTAAGTTGTGCTTGAATTAGCTTCTTCCCTCCTTGTTCTTTTCTGTTTTTGTATGGGGGGAATTGCTACCAAGAAGATGTTGAAATGCTTTCTGGTTTTCTGAATTAATGTTTCCCCTCAGTCTATCACAACTGTTTCACTCTATATAACATCTACATACTTACAGAAATTACAGTGTCTACTGCGATCATAAAAAGATTATAAAGTAGGAAGTAACTCCTTCTGCACATGCTTCTTGTGAATTTGACTGGTAGTTTCCCTTGGTCTCATTTTACCAAGTACAGCTGCCAAACCTCTGTGTACCGGTCCATAAAGGCAAATTCTGGATCGTTTCACCGTGGTGTTTAATTGTGCAAACTGAAACATTTGCAATTGGCAACTCTAGTGAACTTCCTAGTATTTCAGCTTTTTCTGCTCAGTGTTTTCCTTCCCCCTGACTGATTGTGACACACAGTGCAATGCAAAATGTAGGTGGAAGGGAGGGAACAGCTCAGCTGTAGAAAGGCTGGCACTAGAGACATCTCTGTATTACGAGTCACAAAGATTATTCTGAGAAAGCCGATAACCTACTGTTGCCCAAGTAATCGATGCACTTAGCCACACTTTCTTGTAGACCTTAAAATGATGGCCCTCTCCTTCTTTCGTCTGTTGTGACTGAGCTTTGTTTCCTTTAATCTCCTCTATCTGAAGCAAGTTAGCTCACAGCAGCTCACTGTTGTTATCTTTTATGAAGATCGTGTACAAGCGCATGCCCAATTCAGAGAGATGCATTAGAAGACTTCACAATGTATTTTAGCTTGTTTAATTATTTACACTAACTTGTACTGATCCCTGAAGTTTACAGTTTCACATGGATACTTCTTACTTGAGAAAAGCATACTTACCCGTGTTTTATTTTTATTATTAACCTATATACTTAGTACTGTCAGTAGAATCAAACAATTTCTGGAAAATATAAAAAGTAAAAATTCCAAAACTGAAATCATGTTTACATAGAATTTATTTTTCTTTTGTGGCAGAACAAGAAGGATCTCGGTTTTTTCACTTTTAGAGTTCCTTAAAATCTCAGAAGAAGTTACTATTCTCATAAGAATTTATCCCAAGATCCTTAAAGTTTGCTAAAATAGCAGACCACTAAAGATAGAAGAAAATTTGGATCCTGGAGTCTCACACAGGTGATGATTGCACTGCTAGATTCACACAGTAGTCTTGTTCATCAGTGTAGGCCAACCCAGTCTTATGGAGATGAGCCAGGGGCTCCTGAGGGAATGGGAGGCAACAGGGAAACACTGGTGAAATGCCTCAGAGGTATTAAGGAGAGTTCCTCTAAAAAGTTGACACAGCCGACAGCCCAGCTGAAGTGCCTCTGCACCAATGCACACAGCATGGGCAGTCAAGGACAGGAGTTGAAAGCCATTGTGTTGCTGAAATCTACAACCTGATTGCTATTACTGAATCTTGGTGGGACAAGTCCCATGACTGAAGTGCAGCCATCAATGGCTGCAAGCTGTTCAGAAGGGTCAGGCAGGGAGGGAGAGTTGCAGGCATTGCCCTCTATGTCAAGAAGTGGATAGAGTGTGAAGAGCTGTCCCTGAAGAGTAGCCCTGAGCAGGTCAAAAGCTTATGGGTAAGAATTAGAGACCAAAGCAATGAAGCAAACCTTTCAGGTGGTGTTTACCATCTGATCACAGGGAGCCTGTTGATGGAGTGTTTTTACTCCAGCTACAAGAGGCATCACAGTCACAGGTTCTTGTCCTGCTTGGGGACTTCAACCACCCCAACATATGCTGGAGAAGTAACACAGCAAGCTATAAACAATCCAGGAGACTCCTGGAACACATTGAGGATAACTTCTTAAGCCAGGTAATAGGCAGGCCTACAAGAGGGGGTTTGATACTGGACCTGATGGTCAGCAACACAAGTGGGCTAATGGATGATGCCAAGATTGGATGCAGCCTCAGCTGCAGTGATCATGCACTGGTGGAGTTCACACTCCTGAGGGTCAGGCAAGGAGTAAAGTCAGAACCCTGAATTTTAGGAAAGCAGACTTCTGCTTCTTCAAGGAGTAAGCCAAAAGGACCCTGTGGCAAACTACCACGAGGACACTTTCCATAGAATGCAAGAGCTCGTGATCCCCAGGTGTAAGAAATCAGGCAGAGAAGAGAAGAAACTGATACAGCTGAGTTGAGACCTGATAGTCAAACTGAAGGGCAAGAAGCAACTGCACAGGCAATAGAAGCAGGGACAAATATCTTGAGAGGTGTACTGGGACACTGCCTGGTTGTGTAGGGATGGGGTCAGGAAGGCCAAGGCATGGCTGGAGCTGAACGTGCTTCTACAGAAAACACAGGTCAAAGAAACCGTAGCCCCTCAATGAGCAATACTGGTAAGCTGGTAACAACAGATGAGGAGAAGGCTGGTGACTGGAAAAAGGGAAACATTGCACCTATTTTTAAAAAGGGTAGAAAGGAGGACCCTGGGAACTACCAACTCTTGAGACTGTCCTCTGTGCCTGGGAAGATCATGGAACAGATCCTGCTAGAAGCTATGTGAAGGCACATGGAGGACAGGGAGATGACTGGAATCAGCCAGCATGGCTTCACCAAGGACAAGTCCTGCCTGGTGAACCTAGTCGCCTTCTATGATAGAGTGACTACATCAGTGGACATGGGAAGAGCTACTGATGTCATCTATAAGGACTTCTTTAAATCCTTTGGCATGGTCCCCCACAACATCCTTCTCTAGATTGGAGAGATACAGATCTGATGGGTGGACTGTTCAGTGGATAAGGAAATGTTTGGATGGTCACATCCAGAGGGTAGTGGTCAACAGCGCAATGTCCAGATGCAGACTGGTGACTAGTGGTGTCACCGTACTGGGACCAGTGTTGTTCAGTACCTCCATCAATGACCCAGGCTGAGATCACGTGCATCGTCAGCACGTTTGCAGATGACACCAAGCGGAGCGGTGCAGTTGATATGCCAGAGGGACGGGATGCCATCCAGAGGGACCTGGACAAGCTTGAGAAGTGGGACTGTGTGGACCTCATGAGGTTCAACAAGGCCGAGTGCAAGGTCCTACACCTTGGTTAGGGCAATCACCAGTGTCGGGGACACGAGGGGATGATGGCATTGAAAGCAGCCCTGTGGAGAAGACTTGGGGGTGCTGGTGGATGAAAAGCTGGACATCAGCCGGCAGTGTGCCTCACAGTCCAGAAAGCCAACCAAATCCTGGGCTGCACCAAAAAGAAGTGTGACCAGCAGGTCAAGGGAGGTGGTTCTGCTGCTCTGTTCTGCTCTGGTGAGACCCCACCTGGAGTACTGCATCCAGTTCTGGAGCCCTCAGCACAAGAAAGCCATGGACCTGCTGGAGTGGATCTGGAAGAGGCCCACAGCAATGGTCAGAGGGGTGGAACACCTCTCTTACAATGAAAGGCTGAGAGAGGTGGGGATAGTTAAGGCTAGTGAAAAGAAGGCTCCAGGGGGACCTTACTGCAGCCTTTCAGTACTTAAAGGGGGCCTCTAAGAAAGGCAGAGGCAGACTTTTTAAGCAGGGCCTGTTGTGGTAGGACAAGGTTGCAACGGTTTTAAACTAAAAGAGGGCAGATTTAGACTAGATAAAAGGAAGAAATCTTTTATGGTAAGGATGTTGAAACACTGGAAGAAGTTGCCCGTAGAGGTGGTAGATGCCCCATCCCTGGAAACATTCAAGGTCAGGTTGAACAGTGCCCTAAGCAACCTGATCTAGTTAAAGATGTCCCTCCTCGCTGCAGGGGGGTTGGACTAGATGACGTTTAAAGGTCCCTTCCAACACAAACTATTCTATGAGTCTATGAACAATTTTGTCTAATATGCACCTTTATTTGAAAAAAAGATTCAACCCTTCTAAAGCAAAATAGTATTCCTTATCTTTCTAGAAATTGACTATTTTTCTATCACTCTGTGTGTGGAGGAATTTTGTTGGTTGGTTGGTTGAGGTTTTTTGTTGGCTTTTTTGTTTGGTTGGTTTTTGTGGTTTGGTTTTGTTTTGGGTTTTTTTTTTTTTTGCTACAAGACTTCCTGGAACAGTGAAATCCAAATAATTTGTCATTTCAGGTGTCAAGTTACTTTATCCAACAATTTTATGTTAATAAAGGTGATGAGTAAATATAACAACAAATGGGAATATACTGTGAAAAACAGGAATAAAAAGTGATGTTTCTTGCTTAGTTTCCAAAGTTAAAACTATTCCCGGTGCTTGTTCAGTTGTGTACCCCTATTTTTGCACATTTGCCATTAGGGTGTAACCCTTTGTGGCAAGAAATGCATTCTTTTTTCTGCTTGTGTGGTGTTTGGTACAAAATATACTCCTGGTCAATGGAACTCCTAAGTTTCCCTCTAACACAAAAAATGAATTAGCAGAAAGAAGAATGGTCTAATGGGTATAATTGGGAAGGGTGGGTTTAATTCCTGTCCCTTTTAAGACTTCATTAGTGCAACTGAGCAAATTGTGCAATATTTAATATTATTTTTCATCTGCACAAAAATTTTATGCACAAAAATGTATGTTGAGGTGTGCTTATACAAATGTTCACACTCTCTTAATGCAATAAATTGCTGGTTACACAGAAAGGAACTCCATTTAGGGGAAAATTAAATCATTCTTAAAAGACAGTGAGAGACATATTCTGTCAGTCCTGTGCCATATCAGCATTGCACTAGTTCTTTCCAGGAATATATTTTCACTATCTTTCTAATAATTAACAGTTCATTGATCTAGGAGCAAAGTGGGGATGAATTCCCTGTTTGTCTCACATTGTGCTGATGCTTCTGTGTGTGTAGCTTTCAGATTTTTATTGGCATTTTTTTCTGATACTTTGCTTTAAAAATTAAAATCAAATTTATAGGTTAATGTTCTTAGCTTTGCATCTCTGCTAAATGTTGATGTTATTATGCTTTTCCCATAAAAGTTCATCTTGTTTCCATTTTCAACTTACAAATATATTAAATAGGATTGGTTATAATGCTCATCCTTGCAGTGTCCACTAGGTGCGCAAAGCCTTTCCTTTTTTAGTGTAGCATTGTAAATATTTATCAGGTAAAAAATCAGAATTTTTCTTTCATTTATGTGTCCATTTTACTAAGTGATGTATTCACTCAAAAAAAAAATACTTTTTAATCAGTTCAGTGTTCTGTTCCTATCCTGGTACTATTGGGCTACTTTTTTTTCTGCCCACTTTTAAAGTCAAATAACGTCAATTTATTAAATTCCTGAGCTGATACAGGGATATATGACTTCGTAGAGTTACTGTTCCACAGAATCATAATGCAGCCTGTGCTCCGCAGTACAGCCTGTAAGGAATACATGTATCCTGTAACATTTGGGGGTTATAACATTCCCGTTACTAACCACAGAATGGTTTCAGTGGGAAATAAGTAGCAATATGGCTGTAAAAGACTCTGATGCAGAGATTTCTATAAAATTGCAGACAAACCAAAGAACCAGTGTGTAATTTTTCTTGTACTTAGTGTGCTAAATTCTTTGAGATTTGTAGGAGCAGAAAGTACTTGAGGCTGTGCAGAAGCAAAAATTTGCAGTCATTTTAGTAACTGAATATAATAGAAGTCATTCTGGACTTAAAAACACATAAACCTACCTCAAATCTGTAAGGCAAGTAGAATTTTAACATTTGAGATGGCGGTCAACTATGTTGCACAAAATGTTAGTTTCAGAAACAGGAAAATTGTGCGTGTTAACTGGAGCAATTTTTTTATATCTGAGTGTGTACTGTGTGACAGCGTATCCAAATGAGCATCAGGTTTGTTAAAAACCCAACTACTCACTATGCTTGGAATGTTTGCAATCATGCCTGTGTTTTATTATGAAGAACAGCTGAATTACCACATGAATTAAGTAGTTTTGTTTTGTAGTCAGCTGTGTTTGCAAAGAACACTTCATACTGTCATTCTATACAGTAAGTAAAAAGGGTTTTTGAACAAAATCAAACACAAAAAATGCATTCATTTCAGGCAAGGGTGGCGAGAATTCAACAAATAGAGAAGGACATTCTTCGTATACGACAGCTCCTGCAATTACAAGCAGCTGAAGCAGAGGTTAGTGAGCCTTCTTTTGATTATGGCATGTACCTTTTTCTAAAAAGAAACCCCAAATTATTTGAACGAAGTGGTAGGCAGTGTTATTTCCATCAGCTAGTGATGTCACAGTTAATCAACTAGTCAATATATGTAGGCTGTTACTTGCTCTCTTACCAGTGAACTGAGGGTGGGATACTAGGATTAGTCCTCATGTTACTATTGAACTTTCATCACTACTGATACAAAAGTTAAAAGTTTTAACTTGAAATTTCAGCCAAAATACCGAAGTGTAATGTATTGTAAAGGCTGAGTCTTGATTTTAGCAATAATTGTGACAGTCAGTTGTACATGCCTTTCTAAATACAAATCTGTGATAAGCACCTTCATGGTTTCCTTATCTTTTGAGAAGGGTGAGTACTGCTTCTGTCAGACTTCATTATAGAAGCACAACAGATTTTTAGTGTTTTAAGTATTGGGCTCTATACTAAGAAATAAAAGATACTATTTCTTGTAAGTTGCAAAGTCCGTAATAGTAACTGCCATTAATAAAAACTGCTCTTAGAGTGGAAAGTCATTTAAAAGGTCAACTCCATTTCTTATACTGGTGAAATGAACATAAATTATATGTTGGACCTGAATATTTTATGATTTGTCTTCACCCAAAATAACTAATGTGAAAGCTCAGAACAGCATTTGGATTACTCAGGGGTGTATATTTTCCCATTCAGAAAAATAATGGTTTCCTAATTCCAGGATTTAGGGGAGAATCTGCTTTTATAAGTGAAGTAGACAGTAGTGTGTATAATCAGTTGCCTGATCTTCTGACATATTGGCCAGTCTAGGTGTTTATGCAAGACAGAGATCCCCTTGAACCCTTTTTTATCGAGGTTGGACAGTCTCAAGCTCTTTCACCCTTTCTGCATCTAAAAGATGCTGCAATCCCTTAAGCGTTGTTGTGGCCCTGCACAGAACTTGGGTCCAGTAAGTCCGTATCTTTACTGTAGTGGGGAGAATGGAACGGGACAGTACTTCAGGTGCAGCCTCACCAGCTGAGTAGCGGGTGGCCCTGCAGTGATACCATCCCTCTCCCTCGCAGTCTCTGGTGTGTCAGCTGCTCCTTGCAGTCTTCTGTCATCTACAAACTTGGTGAGGGTACACTGTGTGCCAGCATCCAAGTCATTCAGGAAGATGTTGAACAGTACTGGTCCCAGTATCGACCCCTGGGGTATACATCACTGGTGACTAGCTGTCACTTGATGCTGTCAGTTGATGCTGTCACTTGTTACTCCAACTGTACTTTGTGCTACTGATCACAACCCTCTGGTGCCCAGCCATTCCACCATTTTCCAGTCCACGTCACTGTCCACTTACCTAACCCATACATTGTCAGCTTGTCTATGATGACGGTATGGGAGATGGTGTCTGAAGGTTTATTGAAGTTGATTTAAGTAACATCAGCTGCTCTTCTGTTACTCACCAAGCTAGTCACCCCACAGAATAGTTAAGCCTGACTTGCCCTTTGTAAAACCGTGCTGACTGCACTCAGTCACCTTGTTTTTCATATGTTTGGGAATGCTTTGCAGGAAGGTTGCCTCGATCACCTTCAATTGCCAGGGCTACGGTGAGGCTGACTAGGCCTTGATCTTGCTTCTTGCTGTTCTTGAAGACAGTGAGATTTGCTCTCTTCCAGTCTTAATGAACCCTTTCCTGCTGTCATGACCATTCAAGACTGGCCTTGCAATGGTATCATCCCTTTCCCTCAGCACTCATGAGTGCAGCCTGTGAGGTCATTAGGACTTAAATATGTCCAGTTCGTTTAATCTCTCCCAACCAAGTCTTCCTTGCTCCAGACTTTACTTCTGGTCTCAGGGACCTGAATTTCCAAAGGGTGGTTTTACCAGTAAAGACTGAGGCAGAGACGGCATTAAGTACCTTGGTCTTTTCTGCATCTTACGTCGCCAGGTCCCCTTCTCATTCAGCAAAAGGCCCACATTTTCCTTAGTCCTTCTTTTGCTGTTTATGTACATGTAGAGGCCTTTCTTTTTGCTCTGCACATCCCTGCATGATTAGACAGCATCTCTTTACTCCTGGGCTACCGGTCCCCACATCTGCCTCTTGTACTCGTCATTTTAAGGCCTAAGTTCACTTAGGAGCTTCTTGCTTATCTGTACAAGCCTGTTGCTGGGGAGGAGCCCATTTCATCCTGTCCTATCATCTTGGGAGAAGAGACTGACAGTCTCCCCTGAACCTTTCCAGCCTGTCCTTCCTGAAATGTCTGTATTCCTTCATTGCAGCCTGCCAGTTAGATGAGCTGTCCCACCAGGTCACCGTGATCCCAGTGAGGTCATAGCCGCATGACTGCACACGCTTTTACTCCTCCTGTTTGTTCTCCATGCCGTGTGCATTACCATACAGGCATGCCAGAGGGGCACCCAAGCATCCCAATTCCCCAGCACAGGTTTGGGAGGAAACTTTGCTCACCTTTTTCAAGCTTTGATAGATTGTCTTGCAAGTCTTGTAAATGCTACTAGAAAAAGTTGAAGTAATTTACCGGGAAGTGATGATACTTCAAATTTTGTGAGACTTCTGTTAGATATTTTGCAAGATTTTCATAAGAAAGTTTGAAATCCACTATAGAGTTAGACCCCTCCAAAGAGAAATTTTAGCTCTCGGGTACAAATCTGAAATTATCTGTTTAAAAAAAAAAAAAAAAAAGGCAAATTCTTGGCAAATGCTTAATATGGGATTTTTGATTTTTTATACTCCTTTCATACTATCTGTTATTTGACATATGTGAAATACTTCTATCGGGCAGTGTTGCTGTGGATAAAAGGTGAAGGTTTTATTCCATGTAGAGATTATGCTCAGCAAGCTTTAAACTGCTTAAACTGTGATGGATGGGAGTTCTCTCAAGGATTTTACTTACTTAACTTTATTTTTTCTTGCTTCTTGCACTGTTCTTTGTCTTACCTTCTAACTAATACCTGTATGTGTATTGTGTTTAACAGAAAGTAGTGGCAAAATAATATTTTTGTGGTATCTAGGAAATAATAGTGTATCTGTAATTTTCAATATACAGAAAATAAGTCGGTAGTTGAGTATTGGGGTGAAAACTGTGATTTATGCACAGGAAAGTCTTCTGTCCTAATAAATGCACCAGCAGCTGCTTTGGCAACTCATGTTGACAGAGTATTAGGTGAAATTGTTTGTAATTGGTTGTCTTAACAAAAATTGTCAAGGCCTACTATGCTTGCAAATGTCATAAAATAGCTAGAGATGTATCACTTTTGTACTAATAAATATAGAAAAATTAATACTTGACAAACAATAGCTGTTGACTTCAGAAGCACTTAGAAAACAGTGGCAAACAAGATGGAGGGAGCTACTGTACCTTCATGGAATGGGCACATGTGGCCTTCCACCATTTTGCAAGAGCAAGCAAGCACACTTAGTTAACATGACCTGTAGGGTGATGCCAGAACTGAGAAATGGCAGAGGGCTGTAAACCCAGCTTAGATCTTTTCAGCAGTCATGCTTCAGAAGAGGTGGTGTAGTTTAACTCAGGGGACCTGCATGCTTTATTCTAGCTGCGGTACCTTTTGCAGAGGTTACAGAGCCTGCTGCTGTGTACATGCTCTGATTCTTTGCAGATGGGCTTGGTAGTTTTATGTATTTTCAGCCACAGGTCCAACATTCAGTATTAAAAGGTAATGCAAAGAAGGAGTATACTTTCAGTGATTATACTGTCTTTATAATCCACAGTCCGTCAGATGAATAGTACTTTTTTTACAGCAATGTGATATCTGTACAAAGATACATTTTAATCATCTCTCTGTGTGTACATATTTTTACATTTTATGTAGTGTATATATATATAATAGATACACATTGGTACTTAAATATATTAACACATCTATAATAAATATCTGTCTGTATTTATATAAAGAATCAGTTTTCAGCAAATGCCTGCTATTTGCTGCCTGTGTTACGCTTAACCTCCTCTGGGCCAGTCTGCATAAAGAGGGCAGCTTCTGACTTCAAATTCCTTCAGTAGTTGATGTGATAAAAACTCTCTGCTGTGAGCTTGTAGATTTGACACTGAACCCCAGCTGATGACTCATGGGACAGTAATGTGTGCACATGTTGTGAATGCATATTATATTTAAAGTCAGATAAGCTCTGCTAGTAACTGTAAAGATTGCCTCATAAATTAAGTTGGGTGTTATGTTGGCTGCTTTCTGTAGTGGCATATTTTTGAGAGTTCTTTGGGGGAATGTGAAGCCACCTCATTCATAAATAGCATGTAGCAAACCAAATGTGTGTGAATGAGAGAAGGCCAGAGAGTGCCAAGGAGAGCAGAAACCTGTCATGTCAGGGAATGAAATAGCTCTGTGTTTGTGCTCTAGATTTGTCAAAACTATCTAATAGATCCACCATCATTACCACCCCCCAAAAACTGGTGTCTCCTTAAGGAACTGAAACACATCTGTACCAGCTTGCCAGATCAGCTGAATTTATTTTTATAAAATATTAGCTGGATCAGTATCAGGTTTTATAGATTTTATTTGCATCAAATTGGTTGTTCCTCTACTGTTTGTCGTTAAAATTTAGGAGGATTCTTTAGAGTACAGATATTCTTCTGTTTACACAGAAATGGTCTTTGCACATGAAGCTTAATTGAACGGAGCCCGCCGTAGTCTCCAGTAAATGCACGGATCACGTGACAGTGCAGAGAAGACAGTTGTTTGCTCCAATTCTGTTACATTTCTGATAGCAATGTGAGCACAGCTGGTGGAAAACGGTGTTTCTCTGTGTCACAGCAAATCCTTTGTCTTGCAGGGCTATAATCCTCAGAGGACATGCTTCACTTTCATCCTGCAGTTCTTCAAAGACACTCAGTCTCAGCTGTTAATTTTTGAGGCTAAGGGTTATGAAAAACAGAGTATTTCAGGAGCTTTGTGAGGATGCAGCATTGGTGCATTTGCAGTGCAGAAGGCTTTGAATGTTAAAGTGTGCTTCATTTCTGTATGTAATTTCTTAAATTCTTAAATTAACAGAGAGCACCTCAAAGCAAGCATGATGCAGGTTCCCATGATACAGAGAGGCAGAATGAAGGTCAAGGAGCAGCAGAAATCAGCGTGGCAACTGGCAGTACTGGTCAGGTAAATTGGTTATTTTGTTTGTTGGTGGTACAACTATATACTTGAAATGTACAATGCTTATATATTCATAGATATCTTACAGTGGTTGTATGCCTGCTCATTTTAAGGAGATACGTGCATTTGTTCTTCCACCTATATGCGAGAAATTTCTTCTATTTATTGGAAGGAAATGTTTTAATAAGACAAAGTATAAATATTTTATAATCCAGGGAGCATTTTTATTTTGTTTAAATTATTAATGAGCTTAATGCTGTGAAGGAGATAAGAGCGACTACAGAAAATGTATTTTATTGTAGGTGAACTGTAAGATTGGATGTATGATATGATTATGGAAAATGGTTCAAATTTTCACTTTAGGAATGACTGAAATATCAATGATTTTTTAAAAAGAGAACCAAGTGGCAGGTTTATCATTCATATTTCTTTAATATTGTTTTAGATAAAGCTTTGAAAAAGTAGTGTCAATGACGTAATAGCCTTTAAATGCTTCTAAATAATCTTTCATTGCTGTTCCTTTTATTAGTAAAATACACTAGTGGAATATTTTGAGGGGCACATTAAATTATTGTCTTTTAAAAAAAAAAATTATAAAAATTTATTACTTCTTTCTTTGGCTAAAAATGCTTTGATTTATTTACGATGTGCTAATGATCATTCCCTTCATGATTTCCAACTCTAGCTGAGCTCATTACATGTAATTTGGGTTCTTAAAACTTCACACTACAAATTTAATAGTTGAATTCGTATGCAAAATATTTCTGCTACTCCCAGGACATGAAATTATTTAAATACCTCTGAAAGTGTCTTGTGCAAGGAGATTTTCAGGAAGAACTGTGGTTTGGCTAGAATATTTCATTTGATTAAACATTAAGCACAGGCCATAATTTTGCTTTTGAAATATGTTTGATGACCATTTTAATTAAATTCTATCAGCCATATCTGAGCAATTGCTTGAGGCTCTGACTCTCATTCTTATGACAGCTTTATTGTTTGGGAAGAAAATAGTTCAGTGGTGCTCTGGGGCTGAAAGCATAGTTTTTAAATAATTGATGCACTGTGGCTGTATCATTCATCTTGAGTGTATGAACTGGGAATTTTTCTGAACAATATATTTTACAGGGAAGGAGGGAAAAAGGGATCGTCATGTCTTAGACTTAGGCAGGTGGGAGATTAATCTATACTTCATAGGAGGCTTTTTGTTGAGGATTTGCACAGTTTTGAACCTGGCCTCATTGAAATGCATAAAATAGGGATGTTCCTTCCTCCTGTAGGTGGACAGAGCTGAGGCGCTTGAGTCTGTGTTAAAACAGACATCTGGGGTTTATTTACTTCACGTGCAAGTCCAGACAGGAGGTTTAATGAATTGGGCATAACATTCATTTCTGATAAACCAGCTTAATATACTTTCAGCAGTTGCTATTCAGTGGAGTGCAAAAAGTTTTAACCAAATCATTTGGTTCTAATTGGTTTTGTAGTCATATAATCAGTGTTAACTGAAACACTACTGATTGAATACAGGGTTTTTCAGGATTCAGTTATGTCCCTTTCTGTACAATCTTTCAGCTTTCTTCTCTTTTCCATTCTTCTTACTGTCCTGCTGCTGAAGTAAATTTTTTTTTCCATACCTTCATTTTGCAAGTTTTATAAACTAATTCAATGAGATTGTCTGTTTTGTTAAGAATATGTACCCCAAAATGGGGAAAACTACCGAACTGACAGAGTAAATAGAAAACATAATGAAACAATGAGTGAAAGACAGTAAAGTATAGAAGGACAAAACAAGGTGAATTAGATAAGATTTTGAAAGAGAAGGTTCTGCGCAGGAGTGATGCACGTAACATCTTCTGGTCGTTGCCCATTTCCTCAGATGAATGGCTGCACACCTTACACTGGTTCTTTCACATCGGCACTTAGAAGCCAGTAAGAAATGTAGTTACACTTCATTTAGGCATCCTGGCATTCTCAAAGTAGCAAGGCTGTGTAATGGCTGTGGAAGAAATAGTTACCTGAGTCAAAATTGGTCCAGCTTTGGGGAAACTTTTTTTGGGGGAAATATTTTTGGGAAAAATCATGCTATTTCTGTCTACATCATGGTGAATTTCAATAGACAGTGCTCCAGACTTAGGTCTGGTTTACCTTCTTGGATAATATGATCATAATTAATGGAGAATTCTGGCACATATGTTGAGTTGAACCTGTAATCCTCTGAATGTAGTTTGAGGTCAAGATTATGTGAAGGGATTACTCGGTGTAAAAATCTGAGAATTCATTCCCATATTCCTAGCACTGCAGACTATTTACGGGAATAACTGAGAAAATGCAATGTAATTTTCATTCTAAACTTTACAATTTTGAATTTTTCCTATAGTCAGCAGAGAAAATAAGGGCTTGTTTAACATAGAAAATATATATTGGAGTACAATTTAAATTAATTTAAATCATTCTAGTGATCATCAGCATAATACTTATTCTGGAACATGCATGAAGTGTTCTGGATTCAAATGGAAGAGTGAAATGGGTATAATATGTATTTAAATATTCCAGTATAACTAGATTTTTTTTTTCTGTCTAGACATAACTACATGAAGGTAGTCCTACCTTTTACTTATAGTCACTTTCAAGTTCATATTTAAGATGTTGAACTGTATGAACAGCAAATACTTGAAGAGGAATATTCTTTCTTTATGGCACACCTACAAAATGCATAGGATTATTTCGAAGTGTCTTTCATACAGTTTTCTTCAGTGTGTTACATATTTTTCTGGGGGGAAAAATATTATAGTCATTGATCCAGATAACTTGAAAATGTTGTTTTGCAAGTTAAGCTAATAATTTCATTACCAGATTTTAGCTTTTGTAGAGGATCAACAAAAGGCTGATGACTACTTGAGTAAAACAGTGTTCTCATTCTAGTCAAATGGATATTTAATTTCCCCAAAGTGAATACAAAGGGAGGGACAGAGTAAGGGAAACTTCACAGATAAGAAGCAGAGAAAAACAATAATAAAGAGGAAAAAAAAGCAAAGTGAGTGGGTAAAAGATGGTAAAAAAGGAAAAATGTATATACACAAAATGGATTAAAAGAAGACAAAGATGCTAATAACTGACTCTTGCTGCTACAGGTACGAGCATGCCATTTACAATAATTTCTAAGAAAATTACAGCAAATAGCATCAGCAGTATTTTACAGCTTTTCATTAAAAAAAAAATAGATTGATCCACTTACAATTTGGTCTTGGTAGAGACAAATTCAAATAGGGTTACTTCTTGTCCAGATGAATCTGTTTTTACGTGTCAGTTCTTGCATCCCTGCTTGTCTTCTGAAGAAATACAAATTTGCTCCTATGCACTACATAAGCTGACATATAAATTGAGGCTGCTTTTCTCTCTCTGTAAAAATGACAGTTAGGTTTGTTGCAAAGTCTACTTCTCCTCCTTGGTGAAAAAGTGATGTCCAAGTTTTGTCAGAGTAGAGAGGACCTAACTTAGGAAAGTGAAGTTGACCATTTCTATCAGTATGATTTCATGACCTAGTTCTGAAACTGAATTAGGCAATATCTGTTTTTTCACTGAATTGTTGTTTTGAATTTGTAGGGTTCTGCTGCTCGAATGGACCATGAGACAGCCAGTGTTATGAGCTCTAGCAATAACTATTCTGTTCCTCGCAGACTGACAAGTCATCTGGGTACCAAGGTAACCGAAGATTACAAACCACAGGTCGCTAATGCTACATTTTTACTAATACAATAACCTCATTATTTCTGCCAGTAGTACTAATATTAGCTGAATGATCTATCGACACGCAGTAATCTTATGGACTTAAAATTTTAGAATGTTTTTTCACCTTTTAAAATATATGCACAGAAATTCTTTTTCTTTTAGATGATCAGTTTAGAGTTGCTACAGTAAGAAAAAAATGACAGCTAGAAATTTACTAGAATATATAAAAACCTTGTGATGTTGATTGGTAATCTGTGATGGAAACTAAGCCTTTTAAGAGCAGTTCTTTGAATACTTTTTCCAGAGTCCAAATCCACAAAATGGATTCAATTGCTAAGAAGTTAAACAGACAACTAAACAAAACAAACTAAAAAATAAATTAAAAACAAACAAACAAAACAAACCACAAACCACAACCCACCACCAAACAAAAATTATTTAAGCCCGCCAGGGTGATAAATGTGCTCAAAGTATACATGTGGGAAGAAAAGGGCAAATCTCTAACACAAAACTGAGGTTATGAAGCACTGGAGCTCACACTGCCTCTGGAGTTAGCAGCAGTACAGATACTCCGTTGTACAGAGGGCATTGTGCAGGGAGCACAGTTATCTGAGAAGCAGGGCCTGTTAGCTTGAAATGGTATTAATTACTTCAGGCCTTAAAACAGCATTGTAATGTTGTCATTTCAATTCTGTACTGTAGGCACATACCAAAGAGAGGTGAAATCTGGGAGTCTTGTGTCTGTGTTTTCGGTGCAATTTACAGAGTTCCCAAAAGCTGCAAAGAGGAGAGTCTTGAAGCAGGGCAAGGGAACTAGTGTGGAAGGATACAAGCAAAGAAATAGGTTGAACTGCGTGTGCTAGGAAAAAAATCCATATTAATGCCTGAGAAGAAGGGAAAGTGGTAGAGATTCTAAATAGAGACATGCCTCTGTAGATGCAGAAAGAGATGTGTCTCTGGGCAGTGTGTGTGTGTACAGACAGAGAGAAGCAGACAAATACTTTTTTTTGTTTGTTTTGGTTTTATTTTTTCCTACACTATATTTGCCACAAACTGGAGGCTGCATTTTGGTGGATTCTTTGCCTTACTCTCTGACTGAAACTTCAGCTTCCAAATTCAGATAACACTACTAAAGTTGCCACTTGAAATAGCTTGTCAAGAGGCATGCATAAAGCAGATTAAATTTGCTCTTCTATGAATACAGGTGGTTGTCCTTAATATTATGTTGTATTTTTCCAAGAATAAGAAGACAGGATCTCCAAACTGGGATGCTAGGCTGTCATAAAATTGGGTCCATGACTGTTTTGGTGGATTTTGTGTGTGATCATAGAGTTTCACAGATTCTTAGACTTCAGCAATCCTGTAGTGTTTTGAGAAGTACAAGTTAACAGACGTGCTGCTTTGTCTACCCACTCCTATCTTTTTCTTTTTTTGTAATTCAATATTTGTACTCATCTTCAAGCATATTTGAATTGTCTCTGAAGAAACCAAATAAAATCATATGTTGGGCTGGTAACCAGTGCAAATATCTATTTATCAGTAGAAAACTTCGTCTAACAAAGTTTAATTTCTTCTATAATTGGTATAGTCTAAAGAAACAGACACTCTGCTACTTTGCAATTTCCTTTCATAGTTTCTTTGTTGTGCTTTGATTTTGAATGTTCCTGTTTATCTTGGCTTCAGGACTTCGGAGGTTCTAGTTAGTATCTAAAACACCATCCTCCACATCCTGTTACTCTACTGAAAGTTCACTAGAAGAACCAAATGCACTTCTCAGTCTGAACCTATTGAAGAGAACAGAATGGGAAAGGAAACCAAATAGTGCACTGACTGCTCTATTACACAACAGCCAAGAGAATCCCTCAAGAATTGCTGTTTTTTAATGAGAAATTCGTTTACTCCGAGTTAAATGTCTAATGCTGGATTTTCATGTCTTGATTTAGTTTGACAAATGCTCAGTATTTTTTACATATATTAAATGAACATTTGTTCCCTTTGCTGCTTTTATCCCTGTAAACTTGAAAAATTTTTTTAACTCTTCAGTTTTGCATTTGCTGTAAATAATCTGGTCCATATGCAAGTCAGTCATCATAAAAACCCCTGATCACTTAATCTGAAGTAATTTTAATGGAAAGCTTAAAAATGCTTGTACGTCAGATTCCGTTAGCACAATGTAAGCTGAAATTTAATGTTGTCGTTCTTATCCTTTGTCTAGAAAAACTGTATTTAATTCCACATAATAAACAGTTTTTCATTGAAGAGCATCTTTACATGGAAGTATAATTCATACAGAACAGGTTTTTTAGATAGGATTAATTTTAAATGTATTTTAGATTTCTCAAAATGAAAGACTTTCATTAATGTGTTTCAACATTTTTGTACAATAAAAATTTAGAATTATTTGCCATTAGTCTTGTAGAGTGAGACAATTAGATGAAGCTGCCACCCACTTCTAGGCATTTAACCACAAAGTGAAATTTCAGAAGTCTGTGAACGCTGAAATAGTAATAGTCCTTTATTATCTCCAAACGGCACAGTTTTTTGCACCATTAAATGAAGGGGTTTTGCTCACATGTGCCGTTCAAATTTCATTTTTATTTAATATACTGCGTATTTGTTAAATGTAACTGTATTTTTAAAATCATTTGACCTACAGGTGGAAATGGTGTATTCATTGTTATCAATGCTTGGTACTCATGATAAAGATGACATGTCAAGAACACTGCTAGCCATGTCTAGCTCCCAGGACAGCTGCATAGCCATGCGTCAGTCTGGATGTCTTCCTCTCCTCATCCAGCTCTTACATGGCAACGATAAAGACTCTGTCTTGTTAGGCAACTCCCGTGGCAGTAAAGAGGCCCGTGCCAGAGCCAGCGCAGCGCTGCACAACATCATTCACTCCCAGCCCGACGACAAGCGAGGCAGGCGGGAAATCCGCGTGCTCCATCTCTTGGAGCAGATCCGTGCTTACTGTGAAACCTGTTGGGAATGGCAGGAGGCACATGAACAAGGCATGGACCAAGACAAAAACCCAAGTAGGTTCTGCAAGCCATATAAAAATGTTTCAAGGGCATATTGAAAACAGTGAATTTACAGAACGTACAGCTTAATCTGACTTCCTGTTGAATGTGAGTTTTCTTACACGTGTGTGTGTATAAATTTTTTTTGGAGGTGGGAAGTAGTATCTGTTAGACATGAGATACCCTATTCATAAACATGCAATTTAAATCATAGACCTCGGTGTGCTTTCTAGATAATAATTCTAGTATTCTGATTTATAAGCTGTAAATTAATATTGAATATGTACTCATTTGAGTTTACATTTTAAGGGATAATGAAACTTATCTACATAAATAATGCCAAATTGGTTTTCAGACAGGTGAAAGCAGGAGAGAGCATGTTCACTTAGGAGAGGGACAGAGACAGAGAGCACAAATTAAATAATCTTGATCTATTCAACCAAATATGAACTGTTATTTTTAATGCTGTATGTAAGAAATATTTCACTATTAAAATACAAAAAGAAGAGACCATGTAAGTGAATAGGGAATAGTTAGAAGATTTAACCTTCTGAATTGCTTAGCTGCTTTTCTGAATTGAGAGCGTTTTGTAACTACAGGTTTTGCAAGTCTATGACAGACACAGTACTGAAATCCTTGGTCTGCATCACGGCTGTTGGAATTTACCACAAGAACCATTTAGCAGCAGTGGGGCTCTGAACAAGATGTAGCAATAACATTTGTGCACTGGCCAGAATCCAGCTCACGAAAGCAGGAACTAAAAAACTTCTTGGTTATGAAACAAAGGGCTTAATTAACCATTCATAAGGACCTAAAACCTAAAGAAACAGCTTCACATTCAGTGGCTTACTATTGCACGCCACCAGAATACTTAACCTTCTTGGTTTGTTTCACTGATTATTAATATGTAAATGTAAAAATATATATTTTTTTGTACTAGGAGCCATATTTCTAGCTTAATACATACCTTTGTAATTCTCCCTCATTTGTTCTTCAGCATCAAATATATTTCTAGTACACACATTTTTTAGTTACCTTCTTAACTGCTTGCCTGTTCATGGATCACCAGGAAGTTAGAAGTCCTGAACATAACTGTGATTTAAGATTAGGTTCACTTTGGAAAACTTACTATCTAGACAAAATCACGTGGGAAATACTAACTGATACCTCTTTCTGGATCAGTGCCTGCTCCAGTGGATCATCAAATCTGTCCTGCAGTGTGTGTTTTGATGAAACTTTCATTTGATGAAGAACACAGGCATGCGATGAATGAGCTTGGTAAGACCAAGTGTATTTTTCTTTCTTTGAGGAACTTGCTGGAAACGCTGACACTCCTTCTCTCCTTCACTTGATGTATGGCTTTTTTTTACTACTAGTTTAAAGAGATCATCAGTTTGTTTTTGTTAGTTGTTGCCCTCTAAGTGATGAATGTGGTTTAAATTAACCAGACCATTTCCCAGTGGATAAATTATTATGTCAGTCCCTCTTTTTTTCTGGCATGAATTGTGAATTTTAGAAGAGTATTATTGTTATGGAAGTACTTGCAATTTTAGAAGCTTTTGACTTAAAATGGAGAACACTTTCCAGCATGGGAGGTTTTGGTTTTGGTGTGTTTTGTTTTGGGTTTGTTGGGGTTTTTTTTTGGCCTGAGTTGGTTCCTGTTTAATAGCCTGAAATTTTTAATCCATTCTTGCTAAATTCTGTGCAAGCATTTTTCTTTAATTTGCCACTTCCATTATCAGTGAAAATATACTATGTATTTTTTTCAGAAAATAACATTTACTGATAATAATTAAATCAATAGTTTCCTGATTTATTAACTATCCTTTTATGTAACTGGTGCAAGTTCTTCAGTCAAGCATGATTTTGGCTAGGTGGAATTAAAAGATGAGTGTGCTGCTTACTTCCTCATAGTTCCTCCTCTCCCCATTTTCCCCTGAAATCTCAGTGTCATGCTCTCATACCTTTCAGCTGCTACTAAGCAGAGGATTCAAGATACAGAATCAGTATTTAACAATTTATTTACCTTTCTGAGCCTTCTGGTTTTCAGACATTTGAAATTTGTTCTGGATTTCAAAATGCAATTTGCTCTGTGGTATATGTGTACTGTACTTGTGATATTAGAGTACATGTTTTTGTTATTTGTTTGTTTTTAAAGGAGGTTTGCAGGCCATTGCTGAACTATTGCAAGTGGACTGTGAGATGTATGGACTTACAAGTGATCACTATAGTGTTACCTTAAGGAGGTACGCTGGAATGGCTCTGACAAACTTGACTTTTGGAGATGTGGCAAACAAGGTAAGAGTAGGATTTTAAACATACAGTAATGTCAGTTTGTAGCTGTGCTTGAATTGTAGTTCTCAAGACAGGAGATTAAAATCTCCAGGATAGGATATGGAGTCTGAGCTCAAGACAACAGTTCAGAATATCTCTGTCATTCCATGCTGTTTCTGACAACACCACAAATTGAATGTCGTATCATGCAAGTATAGTGTCAACTCATTAAGTAAAATCACTTTTGTCACTGAAAGCAAGGATTTTCTCTGTCGGCTTAATTTTTTAATGAACATTAGATTAATAATGATTATGGACCAGTGATTCTGGATAGCAACTTGCTTCTTCTGAGGATGTTGAACTAAGACTGCTAATTGAGTCAGATTTTGTCAAGTTGTCATTTATTAATGAAATTTTGCAAACCTTTTCAGGCTGGAGCTTGCTTTTAAGTATGTGAAGCGTATCTGGCTCATAATGGGGACTATTTCACATTATTATAAGAGAAAATAAATTCCCTAGTTTCTGACAAGGACCTTACTTTCAGAAGGTAGAAAGTTCCAGTAATTTCTCAACCCAGAGTTTCCCAAGCTATGAATCTTTTTTAACTTCCTACTGGGAAGACTTTTAGCTTTCTGTTCTAGGGGAAGACATTTGAGGAGTGAATGGAAATAACAGGATTCATACAACTTTGGGGTTTTTTTCCAAGTTTTAGACAAAAGTAAAGCATAAATCCTTGCTGCAAGTGATTGCTTCCCAAAGTATTGGCTTTTTACATCATCCAATCAGTAACTGCTACAGGGCTGCAGTTACTTGATTTACAGCATAAACTATTAAGGGGTGTAAATGTGCATGATGTCCAGCTGACAATATACTTTTGTTTTTTATAATTTTTAATTGTGTGTTGTCACAATTTCCATTGTAAGCCCTAAATTTTTTCAATTGACATTGTGTTCTCAAAAGGTTATTCTCTGAATATTGGAAATGTTGTATTTGTGTTGATTTTTAATACTCATATTATTGTTCATACTATGTTTATTTGTAAGAAAAAAATATGATTGTGAGACTAAATAGACAGTAGGTAACAACACCTTGCCAGCTCACAGGTGATTTTTTTCTGGGGCATAGTAAAGAAGGCTTCTAAGGAAGTTAAGTTTCAGATCAAGTCCTAGGCCTGTTGTAAAACCCAGAAGATTTAGGAAAATTTTACCACTGTCATACTGTCCAGAACAGAAACTGATAGTTACGTTTAACTTTTTAGTAGTGGTAAACCAAAATACTTACTGGTGACAATATATTTTACCAAACTTTTACTGAGCATTAGATATGATTAGCTTAAAATATCAAGAGCATTGTTCAGAAGCAAGCCACTTAACTTGTCATTTAATACTATTAATTTTCTTTTTTCTTCTGATTCCTAACAGGCTACATTATGTTCTATGAAGGGCTGCATGAGAGCTCTTGTAGCCCAACTGAAATCTGAAAGTGAAGACTTACAGCAGGTAACGTCCTTGTGAGATGAAATCTTTCTTTAACTTGGACATTTCCATCACTTTGCATGCCATGTATTTCATTGCATTGTATTAAAATACTGTATTTCTGCTCTCCTCTTGTAGTATTTACCTTACTTCTACACATTTGGCCTTACCACCAGTTATTTTCGTACTTGAACTCTGTCATC